AATTCAATTATGGCTGATTGTGCGTCGAATTCATGACGTAAAGATAGGATCGTGGAACATTGAGGAGAGCGCGTGAGCCTTGAATGGGTGGTGATCACATGCTGAAATTCCGTTCAGTTGATTTGATCAGGACAAGATGATTACAGCGAGAAAATCTGCGCGTTCACCAAAATGTCTAAAGGCATGCAGAGCTTATGAACGAACCAAACAATTGACATGTTATGTGTTCAACAACACAGTTCTGAGTTATCCGATCGCTTTCGTTGATACTCCACCTATTGACAGTGATACAGGTGAGTCAAATTTCCACTTTTGTAGAACTCGTAAAACTGATATAACTGAAATAAGCGTATGAGAACTCTGAATGTTGGAACATTCACCGTAGCCCAATCTATCCGAATGAATAAATGATTCACAAAAACTTTCAGGTGGTTCATATTCGACAGACTGGTCACAGTATGATACATTCGAACAAATCAGACGTTGGTTCCGTGAGGGATACTATTGCCCTATTGAAGACCTCGAAGTGAATTTACAAATGTTTGCTGTTTTCCGATAAATATGCATAAGTTTTCCTCATCATCCATGAGCCTTACAAATTCATCTTCATAAACTACCTCTGCAGATGACAGTTTGAAAACGCATCTTTTATAGTAATGATAGGTAACATAAGGTTTCTAAGCTAATTTTTGAGTCGATTTTAAGCATTGAATCGTTAGAAATAAGTCAGAAAATATTCACAAGAAAAGCAGCGATTTCGAAGAGGTACATTTCAACAAGCGATCAATCTTGAGGTTTGGTTAGTGATACCGTCATTCGACTCACACATGCGCAAAATCATTTGGCATACTGTAAATACAGTCATGCGTGAAATCGAATGTCCCGTAGTACGCCTGGTGCCTATCGTAAGTTTTGCTAAAAACACAGAACCGAGTCGCGCTCTGAAATCACTTGCACAAGTTGGATATGATGGCTTGGTAGGTTTTCATTTGGGAATTTTACATTTTCTTCAGATCGACTCCGCAGATCGTACAGCTTCTGCGGCTGTTATGAATCAATGAAATCAACTTAGAGTGTGCATAAATTGAATGTCTCCAAAGATTTTGAGATGTTCTTTAACCAATGAGTTTCGAAATCGATTTCCTTTCACAAGTTCCGCAAATATGAAATGTTCGAAGGTATATTTTGTGAGGGAAGGCACCTTTGAGCGCCTGGAATGGCAGTTTGTCGTGGATAGACTGTGCACGAACGGGATCTGCTTCAGAAAATTTCTAAATTATTCCACTCGACACAGCTCGTTGAATCGAATGATGCATCTTCAAACAAAATATTGCATTTCGTCATCTAGTGAAATTCTTTCCTGCTCAAACTGATGAATGTTTTCAGATTGAAGGCGAAAATTTCTATAGTTTCAATTCGTCCGCAATTCTGAGCGCAACCGATGGAATGGTTGACAAAGACGCACTCAGTTTCGCTGAAAATTACGCTCACATGAAACTGATTTTGAATAATTTGCAGAAAAAATTTCAATGGATGACGTGAGTTCATTGCTTCATTATATCATACAAGTGATTTGAGTGAAATATGATAAATATTAGTCGGACATTGCTCATGACACGTTCGGAAGATCGTTCCAAATTTGAAGAACAACTTTAGCATGTGAATTTTCAAATCTCACCTGATTGTGAGTAGGCCGCATATACTAGAAGTTATTTTAGAATTCTACCTCACCAGAGGAAACTTCATCGCTTTTTTATTTGTGATCCTAGAGAAGTTCATGGCCGATGAAGTAATTGCAATCTTACATGAAATTAGAACGTTAATCGAGTATAATCAAAATTCAAACTCTTCCCTTCAGTCTACACGATGGCTCGGCGATTACAACTGTCATGCAAGTTTATCTGAACAGAGAGGGCGGTGATAAAACGCGTCTGTATGGAACTGACAGTTTCCGATCGGGACAATACGTAGCTGTGGGCGATCATCTTAAAAAGGCGAAACTTCTCAATTCACGCTCATTTAATCAGAGTAACACCATTAATACCATTCAGTCAGAGGATGAATCAAATTCAAGCAAATGTATTTCAAATAACGGAACTGCACTCCGCAGAGGCAACTCTTCATTTCCGTCTACACGAAACTGTAGCAGCACCAATATAAATGACAATGGAGATTTGGTAAGCGTGAGTACCGAGTGGACAAAATGCTCAATAAATCATCTCCCATATGTCGACGGACTGGATGTGCAACCGATTACAAATAGCACTTTGAAGGATGATCATCCTCTGAACGCTTCGATAAAACCTTTCGTTCACCAGGAAGTAAACAGGACAACTGTGAGCGATGGACGTCGTTTGTCTGCGATTGAAAACGAAATGNTACTATTATGACTCGGTGCCTTCGGATACACCAGAGCTCAATGAAAATCCGAGAAAATTGTCGCCACCTAGTCAACCTGCTTACATTGAGGAACCTGATATTAGTGCGGATAGTGGCAGGGACGTAAATTATACCGTCTCACTTAAAGCAACACCAATGGCTTCGAAAGTACACCTTCAACAGCATTCCTATTCCACTACATCGCACATTTCGTCCCAAATCTCGAAATCACAACAACAAAGGGCAACTGTAAATGAGTTTGATCAAAATCAGGTTTGAAATAGACGTTGGATTGAAACATTGGTTTCCGAAATATTCTTATGCTGTTTTGTTATTAATTAGTGCCAGGAGTTGAGAAAACAGAAAACTTTCACTACGAAGTCCTTTCTGAAATGAATGCCAACCATACAGAGAACCCTCACGGATGCATTCCATTGGAAGACATTTCATCAGATGACTCAAAAACATTCGAAAGAGTGATGTTGAAGAGAAAATTATTCTCAGCTATTATATTTCAAGTTATCCATCCTCTTCAGACAACTGTTATCAACAACAAATTGCACGTTAATGTGATTAATGATGGACCGAATATAATGAAACGGAATAATTGTTAAAATCGACTTATAGGAGTCATCAACATATGATCGCTCGTCAACGCAAAGTAGCTCAACAGTGTGCGATTACTCTGAAAATGATACTGCTGATCAGAAACAAATAAAGTGCTCAAGACGCGAAACAGGTAGAGAATATGAGATCATTCGGATACGACGACGAAAGGTCAAGGATGAAAGTACTCAAACGACAATAGCGATAAGCCCTCATTCGTTTATCGCATCGCAACCAGGTTCAGGTTTCTATTCCGTTTCTTTTGAAAATGCTTGACAAACTCCAAATCAGTCATTCAATTGAGACTTAATAACATGAGAACAAGTGATTGTTGAGTCGAAGGCGTTATTAGTGTAAGTCTCCAAAATGCGACATACAACGAATGAGAAGATTCCTTTGACATCGAGAAGATCCTATTGCATTCTAGAGAGCAATAGATGATTCGACGCATTAAAAAAAACGAAATGGTGCATTTATAAACGATAAGAGAAACGGATTATCTGCTTGTAAAAATCACCAAATAAAATAGTCATTCTGATGAATAGTCAACGATAAAAAGTGATAAACATTTTCATTGATTGTTAACCAGAAGCCTTCGTGTAGCCGTAATAAGTAACGTGAGCGTTTTTGAATTAAAGATCACTCTTGCTGCAAATATTTCAATCGATCAAAAATTTTCCATTCGTTCAGAATATCTCGCCTCAGATCTGGAATTTCAACCGACACCTACCGATACGTCTTCAAATGGAACGAACAAAAGACCTAATTTGGAATCATTTACAGCAGAAAACCTTGTGCGAGGAACACTAGTTTAAAGTGATCAATTTCGATAATTTTCGATAACTTAAACACTTTCAAACTTTTGCAGAGAGGTTTGAGTAAAATATACATTTGCAAATATGTATTTCTTGGATACTATAATGGTATGAACACTTGAAATATCTCTGCATCCAATTTGAAACAATTGGAAGTTGCAATTCACGTTTTGCGTTTTTCACTTGTAATTTTGCAAGTAAAAGGAAACGCTTCACAGTAATCCTTTCACTTTATGATTGAAAACAATAACTAGAAAAGCTGTAAACTATGAAACTATTTCAAAACTATAACTAAAAACGTTGTGCTAGAAAACTATTATCATTGTTCAATTTCAACTATTATCGTTGTGTTATCGATTCCAATGTGACCAAATTCAGTTAAACTCATTCGATTATTTGTTTTAGTTCAAGTGTTATGATGTTGCAAACATTCGCTCGACACATAAACGTATATAAATTACTCATTTATTTACATTAAGCATTTGAACACATCTCCAAAAGCAGCAGTAATACAAATGGAATAANGACTAGAAACGAATCTTCACAATATTCGAAAGAGAATTTCAAGTAAAACTTCAAATAAATTACTATCATAAATAACGAATGACGAATCTAGAATAAATCGATGCATAAATGTAAACCAGTTACACGATGAACGCTATCGTATAGATAATCACTCTGCGAACACAAACAACTACAACTGTTTCAGAGATATTGAAATGACCATCAGACGATGTGAAATGCTCAATCACGATAGAGGAGTATCTCTTTGGCAATCGGACCTACCGTTTGAGCGTATTCTTTCATGAAATCCTCCGTTCCAGTGGGATTTCCATGTAACAAAAATACAGAGTACGGCATTGAACACCTAAATTACAACTTTTCACCTTTAATATTTCTGCTGAAAACTGAACTGTTGCGGTGTTCCGAATGGGGACAAGACTGAATCATTCGATATTCAGTCACAGTAGCTAACCAACAACAACATGATTTATTTCGCAGTTTGCTGTCACTACCTAATTTTTCAACTTAATCCCAATGCTGCAATATACAAAGAAAAATACCACAGGAAAAATTTTAGAACATTTCAATATTTCGCAGCGATTTCAGTTTCCGCTAATAATTGCCAAAAAAACCTCGTATGATCAAGTCTCCGAGCTCAAGCTTAGCCCACATGAAGAATATTACTTTTGTAGAGGAACTGTCAATCAGAGCGCTTCAATAAGATTGAAAACATCTCACATGGATGAATAAAATCGCTCAGTACTTTCAACGCACTTTCAATGAACTATAAAAGAGCTTTTTTCTGAAACATGAACTGGCGAAGAATGAAAGCAGTCATACTTTTGATAGAGACAACGAACTGATCCAACGTCTATTTGCTCAGCCGGAGGTTTATGCGGTGCAAACGCCTCAACGTGTTCACCCTTGACTTTCATCTGCTTCACACATTCGTCCAGCGGTACCCAAGTGAAGCTTCGATCGCATAACAGCTCAGAGGGTCGGAATTTCCCTTTATAGCGCATCTTCGGACACGACTCTATATAGTAACCCATATAATAGTAATGCAATTCCGGTCGTTCTTTGGCCAACTGACGTGTGAAAGCTATCTCCCTGTGACAACCAAATACATTAATGATCACTGCTAGCAAATGATTTCCGCTTAAAACACCATCAAACATACACAGCAATCAACAATAATATAAATTAGACAGTGCGTGACCAAAAAGATGGTTACCTCAACGCAGCATAAGTTCCCATTGACAAAAAAGTATAATCGGGATCGTAATAAAAATATTTGGCTGACATACATCGCGGTAAAATGTCCAGGACACCCACGGCTATTATATGACCATCAAGTATGTAAAGCTGATGATAAGATCCTAGTTGAACGGACTGAAATTAACGAGATTGTGCATCAAGGGAACAATTCGGAGTAACTTCCGCATTCTCAAAAAAAAAAGAGATTCTTTTGCAATTTTTTCACCTTTGTAGAGAAATTAAAGGTGATTTTGGAAACAGAAATTCAACAGAGAATGCAACGAAAGAACGAGGATTCCCATTTAGCGAACAAATACTGTGATGGAATGGATTGAAATGGTCGAAGAGTACTTTATTTCGGTTTTCTTCCGACTGGTCGCTGTCGAATAACGGCGAATTAACCAAGAAATTCTCGTAGCTTCGTCTGCTGCGGTCCGTGTCATTATGAATGATCGTTTGATATTTCAGAAAAACTTCAAAACTTTCATCTGCTATTTCATTGAATTCATTCGAACCAACTTTCACAAGACGAACCTTGAATTGAATACAACAGATTCAGTACATAAAATCGTTTCACGCACGCACATAATCAAGAAACCATGATCAGTCTCCAGATAATCAATTTGAGGTTTGATTAAAGATCTATTATCTTGCAAAAATAGGGATATGATTCAAGACGCAGGCATCCAAACTATTTGAGATCATTGCTCACTGA